GAAAAGTATGGGACCAAGTTAGGGTTAAGGATTTTTTTTTAAAACTAAGTTTTTCTTTAAAGGCAAACAATTGTCAAATAGCAACAATAGTTGCAATCATTCTTGCAGTCAAGCATAGTTTACCATTTTCGACTAAACTGACTCATAAAACTGGGGAAATTTGATGAGCGTTATAAATGTGCCGCTCGTATCGTAGCCACCCCCGCCGCTTACGTGCCGCTCAGGTTGCCGCTCGCCGCTTGCCGCTCACCGCTCGCCGCTCGTATCGTACCCGAGGCCTACACCTGAGCGGCGAGCGGCGTTTTCGCGAAAACCAGTTTTGACTTGGAACCATGAGCTGCTCGCCGCTCAGACGTATCGTGGCCACCCTTAACAAATTTACACGCAACTAAATGAGACCCGATATCAGAGCGGCGCCGCTCATGCCGCTCGCCGCTCGTATCGTACCCGGGGCCAAACAGTTGGTTTGACAGAAATCAGTAACGAAAGCCGGGGCACATTATGTAGGTGGTTAATTCAAATTCGTCTTTATTACCTATCCGGCTACACATTCAACATAGAAGTCAGAGAAGTGGACAATGTCCAGCCCACTTATACTGTGTCTGTAATTAATTGAAGGTGACACACAAACAAATGTATCGCTATGTTTACAACCTATTATACAACCGATAATCCACTACTCTAGTAGTGACTGAGCACTATTCAAGTGCAGATTACTTGATTGCTATGACGCGCGATCCTGCCGACTTTTCCTCGTCTAGGTTAAGATTTGTGCAGCGTCATGTACTGTCATCCTGATCAACTGTAAATATTATCCCATTAAAATCCGTTTTCGCTTTTGCTTTACATTGGTATTCTTTGTTGTGTCTATATATTTATCTAAGGTGTATTACGAGTTCGGTTAGCTGTTTGTATCGTCATTTAGCTTACAATATGTTTCACAAGGTGTTGCTCAGTTAGTGCTGGCTGCTTATGATCCGTCATACAGTGGTAGCCTAGTAGGAGTTAGCGTTTTGAAATTAGATTCGAGAGGGACGGGCATCGGCTTATGCGACATATTTGCTGGGGTTTTGCTCCCCCCTTTGGGATTTCCCTAAATCGCTATTCCTTACAAAATGCCACTGGCCTTGAAAATAAAGAGACCTAAACACAACACCCATATATTCAACCATTGATTTGACAATAATAGTCTACATTATAGTGCAAGTAGACTCGTCATCCGTTGTAAAATCTGAGGCTTGTTTTGACGTGTTTTACGTTTAAGTACAATGTTGTTTAAACAATTTCCCCTATTTTGAAGTGCTCTTTTGTCTTATTATCCAATAGAACAAGCAATTGATTACAATTAGATTGTCAAACAATTTTAAACCTGATGAAATTAAAGAAAATAGTGGACAACAAAATGCCCTCTACATAAACCAAACAAAATAGCATATCCTTAAAATTGTCAACTGGTGAGGGAGTTGACATTCGATAAATAATGACATCGATCGATAGTTTATGACCTTTAGTCAATAATTTAATATTCGATGTCTCCTTCTTACTTACAGACGGTCACCCATTGTACAAGTAACAGATTGTTTTGTTTTGACAGTAGTTTTGTGCATGGTTTGTTTTTTGGTTTTGTTTGCTGTGTGATTTTTGCATTTTAGTTTTAATTTTTATGAAAATTGTATATTGTTATTTGTTCTGACGATGCCTATTGCATTTCATGCCTAATGGAAAATAAAGCATTTCATTTCATTTCACCCTTGACCAGATGAAGACAATTCCATGATTTGCGTTGTCCGGTAGCCGATATGGAGGATGCGTTTTGAAATGGTATTATTTATTATTGTGTTTTGGATGTTTTAGAATTTGTTATGGGGATTTCTACAACGTTAAAACTATTTTGAATTGTAACTAAATGTGATCTCTTCATCAATCATTAAATCTCTGGTAGTATTGTATAGGTAACCAAATAGTAGGCCTAAATGCAAACATAAAAACTGACCTAAAATAAAAGAATAGCGTTTTTCCAAAAGTATACGTAGGCCTACCCTACAATAAACCCTAATCAAATATGTTACAGCAGTTAAAATAACATGATACTTGCCTAAGAGTCAATTCCTCATACTAGCCGGACCAGCGTTGCCGGGGTCACGTCTCACGTCGTGTCGACCTTGAGAATCCAATGTTTCCTGGTCGCGATTAGAATGTAAACAAACACAAACTATATAACATACGTAGGTTTTAAATATTACGTCAAATCGTTCAAACCGGAGAAGATTTATAATGTTACTAACATCTAACAATGCAAAAAATAATAAATGAAATTAATGTTTCTTTTGGTATTATCATACAGTACTCAACTCATACAGTAATCAACTCAAGCTTACTTCTTCGAGCTCAAGTTAAAAAAAATTAAAATGAACGAAAAATAAGGAAATGAAGGAAAATGAGCGAGGGTTGAATAGACTTTTTGCCCTTGTGATGAACTATATTTTTCGTCATATTGCACCATTATTTGAAGAAACTATGTTACAAAGCTTATTTTTTTAAGATTAACCTCTCTAAAAACTACTTATAGCTTGTTTTCAACTTTACTAGAGGTCGTCCAGTGGTCGAAAACTCGACCAAAAATATGTAATGTACAAACAGACTTCTCTATTTTTACCCTACGCTGTAAATAAAACATATGATTGGAGTGTCTTCCATTTGTTTTGATTTTCTGTTTATATTTCGTTGTTATTTCGTCACCAGGATGGCAACCCTTAAGACCCATGTTAGTTTTTTTAATTTTAATTAATTTTTTGTGCTTTTTTAGCCTATTTAAGTTTACGAATGGATTCTGCACATCTACAGGAAAGTATCTTTCTAACAGTATGGGTAGATTTTCCCTGTGATGCACACGAGCTGAGAAGAAAGGTTTTAAAGAATGATGCTTGCCTATTAATATAAAGGGTGTTTCAGAATTCATGTCGGATATTTTAGGGTTTTATTCCTGGGTAAGAAACATATCCAAATATCATATTTAAATTGTCCTTAGTCCTTAGTTACTCACACAGCTGCCATTTTTTTTCACTAATTAATTGTTTTCTAAAAAGTGGTAAAAGATACGAAATTGAAACTTAGCACAAACATTTATGACAACTAGACAAAGCTACAACAAAATTATAACAATTTTTAAAATTCATAAAACAAAATGGCGGCAATTAAAAATTTTGTTTCTTGCATAACTCAAAAACCATTGATTTTACCAAAACTTTACAAGAATAACTTTTTAAAGGCATTTAAATTACTAATCGATTGACACCTTACTTTTTAAGATTGGATGAATATTAACTGAGATATGGCAGTTTAGTAATACATGACCGCTGGAGGTTAGTTTTAGTGCATGCCGAGGCAAGCGGCTAAAGTCTGCCACAACAATGCAACAGTCTCCGTCCGCTTAGCAAGTTATTTTCAAGTGATTTTAGATTATTTCAAACAATAATAAAATGTTACATAACGCCAAAAGTGTTTTTATCAATTATCTATCATTAGGATGGCATAAAATTGCACACCTTTTTACTGTCTTTAAAATTCACACAAAACACCCAAACTTTTTATATCAGCTGTGGTGAAAGTCAAGTACTTGTTCTAATCAGCTGATTTTATTGTTGTCTGAAGAGGTTATTGTTGGTTCAATGTAGTCAGTTCCTCTAAATTTGTACGCTTACAACAGTAGACTCCCTCTAATCCAGACACCTTTTAACGGGACATCGGTCCGGACTACACTTGGCAGAAATGACATCTATTTAACCGGACAATTTTTATCAGCACATTGGTTCAACCGGACTAGGTCGGTAGGAAGTGGGTGGTACTGAAATGACTGTTCTTGTGGTAAAGATTTGAGACCAGTGATCACGTGTCTAAATACAATTCTCTCCAAAATTTAAGTCAAATGCATTTTAACGGTCCGTTTGAACGAGTTTTTGGGGAAGTTGGTTTAACCGGAAAAACCGTTATCCGGACTGGCCTCGGTCTCGAGGAGTCCGGATAAGAGGGAGTTTACTGTACATTGATTAAATAATAACATTTTCAGGCAACAATAAAATAAAATACAATAAACAAAATGGCGGCTGTGTGAGTAATTAAGGACTTCGGACAATTTATTAAGATATTTGGATATGTTTCTTACCCAGGAATAATACTCTAAAATATCTGACACGAATTCTGAAACACCCTGTATGGATTTGCTAATGGAAACAAGCAGCTGTTTATAAAGTGATTCATTTGTATTGACTATTACGATTGTGTTAGTGCACATTAAACTATCAAATTAACTACAATCGATTAAACAATCGATACATGCAATTGTTTACAATCAAAATTTACAACTGAGTTGACAACAGTTGATGTTTACTCCCTTGGGGCTAAAATGCTTTTTACTCCCTAGAGCGTAAAAATACTAAATAAGACCCACAAGGTGTGCATTAAGACGGCCGTTTTTGCTGCAATATGACAAAAAAGTGTTTTTTGCAATACCAGCTCATTATTTTTGACTGAGGATAGGTACATGAGTCACTTTGGCCCCGGTTATGAAATATATTCTGCTTTTGTAGATGGCCTTAGAGGGAGAAAGTAGTTATATAGAGATAGTAACTGAAGTACAGTAGATATCCTGTCCATATGGAGCAGCTGTAGAAAATTTGTAAATGAATATAGTTGAATGAGCTCCCACAGTGTAAGCTACAGTCAAATATTCTATTTTCTCCCTTAATTTTTGTTACTCTGGTAGTTGACATATTATAAAATATGCTATCCTATAGCTTAATATGAGTTTTGCTTGGTTAAAACATCGGCATATTCAACAAAAATCAGTAAATTACCTACACACCGTCTTTAACATATTTTTATGTCCGTGGCTCAATTCAACTAAATTATTCTAAAACTAGCCACAACTTACATGAAATAAAATGTCTAGTAATCCATTGTCAAAGGCAGTTGTCAATTTGTGATTTTGTTCATTTTTGCAGAGTGAGGAACTGAAGCATGAGTGAGAGAGAGAGGATGGTGTGAGAGTGAGAGAGACGGAGAGTCCAACATGGACGGGGAGGAGGACTACTCGGCCAACGCTGAGGAGAACACCACCAAGACACAGGACCAAAATGACATGACATTCTGCATCAACAGTTACCTGAAGGATGCCATGAAGGTAGGAGTAGGAGGTGCTATCGCTGTATTTATAAACAATATTCATTTATTGTATTTATATGTTGTTGTGAAAAAGCACATTTTCATGAAATAGTAATGAACTAGCTGCCATACACAATAGGAGAGGATGTGAAAGAAAATCATTTGCTCTTTAGATCTGCCGTCTGTTTTAATTCTAGTTTATGGCCTTTCCTACGCTAAGTGTTTCATTTACTGTAATTAATTAAATAGTCATACCTTCCGAAGCAAGTAAGGAGAAGCCCTAAGCAAATTGACCTGTGAGGCAGAGCTCTTAAAAAATCAACCATTTCCTATGATTTTCAGCAAATCTACATAACTATACCGTCTAAATACTATACAGCCCGATGTGTTACTGACTCAGGTATACAAATGTTTGAGCACTTCTACAAGTGCTAGGAAGTTAAAATTTGGCACGCTTCTTGGTCTTGGGCCCAAGCTCCCAGGAAAGGTGACATTTTCAAATTTTAACCCCCCCCAAAATCTCGAATTTCCCCTCATGCTACTCATATAGGGAATAGCATTGAAATTGGCCAAGTCTGGTGTGCTCATCTGAACCGTTTAGAAATGTGCTAGAGACTTGAAAGTTGGCAGCATTGTAGTACGTGATCTTAAATTAACGGTGAAATTTGCATAAGCCCCACTGACAAATTTTATCCCCCCCCCAAAAAAACCCAAAATGGCAGACCTCTGAAAACGACAAAACACGTCTTTTTAAACGACAATAACTCAAAAACGGTAGGAGCTCCTAGAACTGTACATTAAATGCAAAGACTTGAAAGAATTTTCATGGTCAGGAAGTAAATGAATAAATAAATAAATGAATAAATGATTTTATTTCCATCAAAAATTAACAATGTATGAACATTTGTAATATTGGAAATATAACTGACCACTTTAACAAGTTGTGTGGTCAGTAAAATAAATTATAATAATCTAAAAATAAACATTGAATCAGCCTAGCTCAACATAAAAAATGACACCTGCTCTCTGTGATGTTTGACAATCCTTTTCTTAATAAAGCTAAATACTTAAACTAAAAAATCAAAGAAAACAATACTTAATTTAAATTCAAATTAAAATTACATTTAGATGAGGTATTTTCATGGACAACATCAAGCATCATGCTATTTCCAAATTTTGTTTTTATCCCTACCCTCGCATTCCCAATCTAAATAATGAAATGTGCAACAAGGATGAGGCCAACCGATAACACTATCTACTACATTTGTAGGCGCACACACACACATTCGTTCACTCACTCACTCACTCACTCTCTCACTCACTCTTTATTACCATTATCTGTCTTACTGCTATCCAACCAAGGGTCATGTTATAATCGGCTATGCTACAAACCCTCTCCGTGACCAACGGGCGGCTGGTAGCCCCGGGGTATCCTAGGGCCGTCAATGCACTGTCCCCGTGGTACATCTGGATTCGGATGCATAGCTAATTCACTCACACTTACAAATTTTCTACCTACATAAACCTCATTTGCGTTTTCCGAAAATCACACCCCTTCACCCCTAAAAACGCCCTACTTTCAAAAACTGGTAAATTTCTTTCAAATCTTTAATGGTTTTCGCTACTTTTCCCTATGTTTTTTCCTAACTTTACTTTTTGACCCCCAAAACTTAACTTTTTTAATGTCAAAATAAGTTTTACCTCTTTTCCGAGGCTATATCAGCCTCCCATGTTATTCTTCTGGTAATAAGCTTGAAAGTGGCTGACTTCGGCGTTTGTTTCTTAACCATTTAGAAATGTGATAGAGACTTGAAATTAGGCAAGGATGTAGATAGTGGCCTTGAATTATTGCAATAATTTGTAGAACTACAATTTACAAATTTTAACGACCTCAAATATCCGAAATGGCGAACATCTGCATACGAAAAAGCATGTTTTTTAAAAACTGTTATAACTCAAAAATGGTAAGAGTGTGACGCAAAATTCTAGGGGGGGAATAAACTAGTATTCACCTAAGTCAGGCTAGGCCTACCCCTTGAACTGGCCACACTCAAATTTCTTCCCCGGAGTGCTCAGAAGGAGCCGAGAAAAATCCAGGGGTCGATACGAAGTTGTCCAGCTTTGACTGATCAATTTATTGAAATTTAATCGAAGGCTCAGAGCTCTAGAAGCGCTCAGGAAATCCTGCAGACGCCCAGTTGGAGCTATATCATCCCAGCCTTCGTAAAAGTGTTTTGGAGAATTTTTCCTAACTTTTGAATGACTCTGTAGGGCCAACGAGTATTCAATCTTAAGCCAATATGATTCAATTACTCGTAATGAACTTTAAAATAATTAGCTGAAGGCCTCGGTAAATAATATAGAATCGAATATAATGTAAAACCCAATCCCTACAGAGTCGTCGGGGCCTAATTAATATAATTGGACGGATAATTTAACGTGAGTGGTTTAAAATAAATTTAATACTAATTTTTGTAGCTGATTATTCAACTCAGCCTGCTCCCAAGACTTGGTTCTTTCACCCGCCAAAGACGGGGTTTAGAACGTAGACGACAAGTCTCGGGGTATTAAAACGTCGAATCGACTGGAGTAACTTAAGTAATAATTTAATCGTGAAACGAACTGAATAAACGTAATTTAATAGCCAATTGGTTTAAAAGAGCCGAAAAATATCCACCGCTAGTCACTGGCAGGCAGGAACTGGCGGGTTTTGTACGAGTCGGCGAGAACTAAGTTAATAGAATTTAGAAAATTATAATCGAACGTAGACGGATAAAATAAATGGCAGACGAGTATGCGTATGTTAGAAAAAGAATATTTAAAAGAAAGTAGGAAAGTCTGAAAACGTAGCTAACCTGAATCGGTATCGTATGGCGAAGTTAATTTCGTTGTGCGAAGAGGCTTCTCGTTAACGAGTCGACGGTCGAACAGCGAATCTTTCTTGTCCGGCTCAAATCCCGATTTCCTCGGCCGCGGCTCAAGCGCTGCGGTGGCGATTTCGGAAACTAGCCAACAGCTGATTGGGGATTCGCCTGTTGAGCCGGTCTAGTTGTCGTCTGTCGTTGGTCAACAAACACCATTTTGAGGTTAAGTGATGTTGTCATCGGCGTTAAATATTCGTAAAATCGGTCGTTTTAATCGGACGCGAGGCGCGTCTGTCACCTCCGATGTGAGATGGCTCACCGCGACCAGGCCCGATTGGCTCTCGTTGGTCACGGGTTGCCTCGACAAAGCGTCGGCGACGCGGTTCAGGGTTCCCTTCCGGTATTTGATCTCGAAGGTGTACTGCTGAAGTTCCATCACCCACCGCGCCAGACGTCCGCTAGGCTCGTGTAGCCTCATTAGCCATTTCAGCGCGACGTGGTCGGTTATTGCGACGAACTTGTAACCCTCGAGGTACGGCTTAAATTTCCGGGTCGCCCAAACCAGAGCAAGACACTCTAACTCCGTCGTTGTATAGTTCTTCTCTTGGTCCGTAAGCAGTCGGCTGGCGTACGCGATGACGACCTCGCCGGATTCTTGGTTCTGCGTGAGAGCGGCTCCAAGACCGATGGTCGACGCGTCGGTCTGGAGGACAAACGGGACCGAGAAGTCGGGACAGGCCAGGACAGGAGCGGAGGTGAGGCGTCGTTTTAGTTCCTCAAACGATTCTTCCTGTTCAGGGCCCCACAGCCACCGAGCGTTCTTCTTCAGTAGTTGTCGCATCGGGGCGGTTACTTGGGCAAACCTGTCCACGAAACGACGGTACCAGGACGCGAGACCGAGAAAGCTTCGAAGGGTTTTACCGTTCGTAGGTCGTGGGAAGTCGGCGATAGCACGGACCTTCTCTGGGTCGGTCGATATCCCCTCGTTGTTGACGACGTGTCCGAGATATCTGAGCTCCTTTTTGCAGAAGTTACACTTCTCTGGGTTTAAACGTAGGCCAGCCTTTCTAAGGCGTTCGAAGACCACCCGGAGGATCTGCAGGTGCTCAGTAAACGTGGCGGACACCACAACGAGGTCGTCGAGGTAGGCGAACACCTTCGGCTCAAGCTCCGGACCGATGACCTTGTCCAGGAGGCGTTGAAAGGTCGCTCCGGCGGAATGGAGTCCGAAGGGCATAACCGTGAACTGGAATAGGCCTAACCCGGGTACGGTGAATGCGGTGATCGGCCGGCTTTCCTTTGCTAACGGCACCTGCCAATAGCCTTGCTTCAGGTCCAGTGTACTGATGTATCTCGCCGGCCGTAGTTTCTCCAGAATCGCGTTGATTCTGGGCAGCGGATACGCGTCGGGGACAGAGCATTCGTTGACTTTGCGCATATCGATGCAAAACCGAAACTTGCCGTTGCTCTTCCTCGTCAGCACGACTGGTGAACTCCAAGGGCTATCCGATGGTTCGATAACACCATCGCGGAGCATCGTCGCCACCTCTTCGTCGATGATAGCCTGCATCGCGGGATTTCTGGGGTAATACCGCTGCTTGACGGGGGCGGCGTTTTCTTTGAGCCGTATCGTGTGCTCAGCCAACGCCGTCTTCCCCGAAACGTCGTCAAACAGTGGAAGTTCGCGTTCCAGGAATTCCGCAAGCCTCGTGTCTTCGTCGGGGGTCAATGTCTCGAGAGCGTTGACCGGACAGGACGGAGGAACGTCGTCGTGGCGGAGGTTCCGTACGGCGGTGTGTACACTGACAAGAGCGAGGTCAGTAATACACCGAATGCCAAGTACCACCTCCACGCTCAGGTTCGGGACATGTAGGGCATCCCACAAATACGTCTGGCCCGCGATTTCACCGTCCACTCTGTATCGATCCGAGACACGGCAATTCGCTCCGTTGGCCATGCGTAGGTTGACGTCAGCCTGGTCGGGTACGATGCCGCACGTCCGAAGGTGACGTACGGCGCGATCTCCAATCAGACTGACCGACGAGCCGGTATCGATGAGGGCGCTGAACGTCTCACCTGAGATGACCACGTCGACGAAGGGTCGGTCATCTCTGGGGGCGCGTTCACGGCTGACGGTTCCGGTGAATTCCGTTATGAAGCCGAGCCAGCGATTCCACTCCTCGGAGGTCGTGCGACGTTTCGTTCTACGGGGCTCAGGCGACCTCCCGCAGACTGAACCCGATGTCCGTTTCCCGAGCCGCAGTTGCAGCGACGCGTCGAGATGCCTACCCTCTTGCAGTGGTAGCAACGCAGGACCTTGGGCTTCGAACACTCGCGAAACAGATGTCCGGTTCCGTCGCAGTTCCAGCACACGAATTGCCGAGAGCCTGCCGCTCGTTCGTTCGTCGTACCGGGCGATCTGGTTCTCGTAGAGTCCGGCGTCCGCCTCCGCCTATAATCGTCTCGTGGCGAAGGGTCACGGGGGTTTGACCGCGCAAACGTCGTTCTCTTGCGGCCGTCCTCCAAGGGTTTACCAGGTCGTGACCTGGCCGTCACCTCGGATTCCTCGGCATGGTCGTCCGACCAGCGATCAATTGCCGCGCTGCTGTAGACCCGGTCGACTTTCCGATCTTGAACGTAGGCGGTTTCCGGGATCAGCGACATCGAAGGTGGTGGCGGCGGACGGAAGGTCTGCCGGCTCCGAACGTATGCCTCGTAACCCTCAGCTCTCTCCAGCAACTCCTCCAGAGTACAAAAATCGGTACGACGTAAGACGAGTTTGTACTCCGGGCGCATGTTGCGGTATATAAGGTCCAGTTTACCCTGCTGCGAGAACGTACCGCTCCTCCGGATCAGCGTTGAGAGCGCTACGACGTAGTCACGAATGGATTCGCGCTCGCCTTGTGTCCGTCGCCTTACCTCGTCGTCTAGATCTTGTCGATATAACGGAGGGAGGTATTGATCTTCGAACTGACGTTTGAAATCTTGATACGTCTGCTAGCTGCCGCGACAGTTCCGATACCAAAGCAATGCCGGGCCGTGAAGAAGTTCCGGCAAAGCCTTCGTCACTTCGTCGATATCGATTGAGTAGGCCTCCGCCAACTCCTCCAGACGTTCTAGAAAAGAGACCGGGTCCTTCTTGCCGTCAAACCGCAGATTCCACTTGCGGACCCGATTGCACAACGACGGCGTGTCGTCTCCCACTCTCGTCCCACCCCACGGGTTGGGGTTGTCTGGACGTGAGGTTGAGAAGGCTGGTCGTGGTTGTGACGTCACCAGGCCCTGGTTGGATCGCGGCCATTCGTGGGTCCGGTCTTCGAACTCGTGACGCGGGATGTGGGTTCGGGGCTCGTAGGTCCGGTCTTCGTAATCGTGACGCGTCGTCTGGGTTTGTGACGGTATGATAGGCTGTCGCGGAAGTGTCAGGTCGTGCGACGTCAGGTAAGCAGTTGGCCGTTCTCCGCGACTCTCAAACATCGCGTGGGATTCGCGATCCGTCGGTAGACCGGAGGGTACGGGGTACGACAAAATGTCTTCCCCGGTCGACGGGATGTAGGCCGGACGCTTTACCAACGCCGCGAGGGCTCGTCGAACGGATTCAGAATCAGCGTTCGGAGAGACTCCGAGCATTTCTCGCACGCTGGCCATCTCCTGGTACGCGGAAGGAGGTGCCAGCCACTGTCGGATTTGCGTATCGTAGGCTGTCGAGGCTGTTATCACCGTCGGGTTCATCGGCTGACCGATGCTTCCCAACGGGTTCTTCCAATAATCGCAAAAACGTTTGCGGAGCTCGGCGACGCTACCCTCAGTATCTAGATGATATTTACTCATCTCGGCTATCAGGAGCTGTTTGCTCAGAGTATGAATCCAGCCGACGCGTGAGTCGTCCAACGGTGATTTCGGGATGCTCTCCATCGTCGAAGGTATTTGGGAGATCGTCGTCGTGGTCGTGGTCGTCGTTGACGTTTGAATTCCCTCCGTGGATATCGTCACGTGGCCGATCGGTAGCGTATCGGGTCGGGCAATAGTCGTCGGGGTACTCGAAGTCGTGGATTTAGTTTCTCCAGTCATTTCGTGTAAATTTCGAAGTCAAAACCGTGTTTTCGAGTCCAAATGTTCGGGCGCCAGAGATGTGACGCAAAATTCTACAAAACGACAGTACAAGGACGTGAGACCGAGGAAGCTCAGTCCCTGTTCGGGCGCCAGAGATGTGACGCAAAATTCTAGGGGGGGAATAAACTAGTATTCACCTAAGTCAGGCTAGGCCTACCCCTTGAACTGGCCACACTCAAATTTCTTCCCCGGAGTGCTCAGAAGGAGCCGAGAAAAATCCAGGGGTCGATACGAAGTTGTCCAGCTTTGACTGATCAATTTATTGAAATTTAATCGAAGGCTCAGAGCTCTAGAAGCGCTCAGGAAATCCTGCAGACGCCCAGTTGGAGCTATATCATCCCAGCCTTCGTAAAAGTGTTTTGGAGAATTTTTCCTAACTTTTGAATGACTCTGTAGGGCCAACGAGTATTCAATCTTAAGCCAATATGATTCAATTACTCGTAATGAACTTTAAAATAATTAGCTGAAGGCCTCGGTAAATAATATAGAATCGAATATAATGTAAAACCCAATCCCTACAGAGTCGTCGGGGCCTAATTAATATAATTGGACGGATAATTTAACGTGAGTGGTTTAAAATAAATTTAATACTAATTTTTGTAGCTGATTATTCAACTCAGCCTGCTCCCAAGACTTGGTTCTTTCACCCGCCAAAGACGGGGTTTAGAACGTAGACGACAAGTCTCGGGGTATTAAAACGTCGAATCGACTGGAGTAACTTAAGTAATAATTTAATCGTGAAACGAACTGAATAAACGTAATTTAATAGCCAATTGGTTTAAAAGAGCCGAAAAATATCCACCGCTAGTCACTGGCAGGCAGGAACTGGCGGGTTTTGTACGAGTCGGCGAGAACTAAGTTAATAGAATTTAGAAAATTATAATCGAACGTAGACGGATAAAATAAATGGCAGACGAGTATGCGTATGTTAGAAAAAGAATATTTAAAAGAAAGTAGGAAAGTCTGAAAACGTAGCTAACCTGAATCGGTATCGTATGGCGAAGTTAATTTCGTTGTGCGAAGAGGCTTCTCGTTAACGAGTCGACGGTCGAACAGCGAATCTTTCTTGTCCGGCTCAAATCCCGATTTCCTCGGCCGCGGCTCAAGCGCTGCGGTGGCGATTTCGGAAACTAGCCAACAGCTGATTGGGGATTCGCCTGTTGAGCCGGTCTAGTTGTCGTCTGTCGTTGGTCAACAAACACCATTTTGAGGTTAAGTGATGTTGTCATCGGCGTTAAATATTCGTAAAATCGGTCGTTTTAACTTTATTTGGTGAAAAGGATTGCTATTATGAATAAATATGTAGTTGTGGGTGTGTTCGTGTACTTCACTGTTATCAAAAGTAGGCCTACGTTCTTTGGCCCATAGCCCAAGCTAGGGCCAACACATAGGCCTAGGATTAGGATGTTGTGGATAAAAATCGGGTAAGTTATGGTGTTTGTTGACTAGCAATACGTTTTTACCCCCCTTAAAATTTGGTACCTCACAAGAGCTAGCCAAAAATGGTCAAAATAGTAGTTATGAAAATATTTTCATGGTCTGGAATTATATTTCCTACAAAACCTTCCTAAGCGTTTTCCGGAAATCGTACCCCTTTACTCCAAAAAAACTCCCTACTTCTGAACTTTTAATTTTTTTTTACATGATTTTAATAATTGTAATTACTTATCGGACTTATATTTGTACTTAATTTTGACTTGTTTTAGTGTTTACATCTGGCAGTTCATAAGGTCGGCAATGCAGTACCAGATTTGGTTCTTGCTCTTATTATTGTTACTAGATTGATTTGACTACACATGATAACATTTTATAGTTACACATTTTTATGTGTCATATGCTTATATTTTTATTTGGTTAATGGCCTTAAACGATGACCACACATTTGACTGTATCACTTCAATAATATTATAGATTTTATTTTTATGTTCTTTAGATAATGAACATGATGAGGAGTCACTGTCTGTTGACTGATATTGTTCTTGAGGTTGGAACAGAATCATTCCAGGCTCACAAAGTCGTTCTTGCTGCAGCTAGTCCTTACTTTAAGGTAAGCAGAAGTTTCAATTCCATTGTTTTATAAATCTTGAGCTTACATGAAATATAATTTTAGTACAATACCCTATAACTAAATCAAAACATTTTGGAAAATATGTAGGAATTCACTTTTAAGAATAGGGTTGTTCAACCATGTATTAATCTGAGTAATATGTGAATACTGTATTGTTATAAAATATGGTGAAAAATTAAATGTGTCCAAGGAAACAAGTTGCTTCCAATACAGTGTCTGGTTCTCTACCATGTAGACTCATCTCTCTCATCACAAGATAAGTAAATCAGAATGCAAACTGATACTTATCCTTCTAAAAATATTCAACATAGCCTATAGGGCCTTGCAACATTCAAATCAAATAAAGTAAAATGAAAATGTTAACAGTTGTACTTAACCTGTTGAGCCACGAGATTTTTAAGTGATTCATTAATCGTTATCTATATATATAATACGCTAGGCATATTTTTGTCATAATTGTTTTGGAGTGGTGGTGCTACCGATCACCATGTCCAAGGTGTCGTTAGAAAGGTCTTAGCATGTAGTTTTGCCATCAAACAAAAAAACTTTGGAATTCCATCAGGGCTCTGCCCCAGTGGCCATCAAAGTTTCCATGTTATTCTTAGGGAGAAAATGTTTGTTTACATTTAAACAGATGAATACTTTGAATTTGACACTAATATTTGAAACAGCTGGTTATACTAAAATTTTGCACAAAATCAAAACATAACCAAAAAAACCTTCGACATAACGGTTTAACTGGTAGACGTGAACGAAATACAAATACAGTAATACTATTGTCGTTGATAGTCGAATACAGCAAGCACCCTTCCGTGTTGGGTTTAAGTGTGCTCTCCAACAGCCGCCTGAAGATTCCACATTCGATTTAGGACTGTTGGATAATCGCTGCATAAGCTGTTGATTTTGGAAGACAAGGAGGTGGGTAAGACTACATCGGAAAAAGAAGAGAGAAGAGATGAGTGGCAAATGCTTTGGGAGCAGAGAGTTTTATGTTAACGTTTTAAAGGTAAACGTTCGGATATATACTTAACATCAGAAAGAGACTGGAAAAAGATTGGGAGAACAGGACATGGAAAATTTCAAGGCGAATTTGTGAAGATTTCGCATGGTGGAAGTATGTAGATGTGGAGAAAAAAAACACGAGTCGTGTATTTATTTTATAAATTGTTAATTTCAGGAGACAAATAGGAGAGAACTGGAATAAGTCTTGGATAAGATAGGTCTAGAAATGAGAAAACAAAACATGATGAGTGACAAGGAAACAATTGAGACGTTTAAAAAAGTAGCTAGGGAAATATGAAAAACCAGGGATACATAAAGGCTTTAAAATTTAAAAGAAGAAACAAACAAACTAAGTTTGTGCTTGTTGTGTAACACGTGCTTGTTTTAGAATATAGAATATGAGTGAAGGATGAGTGTAGAATGGAGTAAGATGATCTTTGTTGCTTTGTTACTGACTAAGATCAGCTGTTTCATTAGCCAGGATTATTTATTAAAAGCCCAATAGGTATGTCCCCACTTGTGGGCTTTTGTGTGTGCCAAGCGGATGCCTCTTAACGCATGCCTTGACGCTTCTTGACACAATTAAAGCATGTTCCGAATCGAGTCAGAAGGAGCTCTATTCCATAGCGCACAATGTAGCGCCAGACGATCCACCAGCCTTGGATTTCTGTGCATTTCAATTTGGAACTGCTTTACTTTGTTGACAAGTAGTTGGAGCAACATGATGACGAAGAAACCTCATAATTCATATAAGTTATCATTCTCACGTGTGTTTGTAGGACATGCTAAGTAATATATCAAATAACGAATAAATAAAATTAATATAAAAGAAATAAAATAATAAAATAAAATTTAATAAATTAAATTAGTTGATGGATAAAATAAGCAAATTAGGAGCTTTATAAAACTCCTATTAATTCAAACTGTAAGTGTTTATTTATTACGTTTTTGAGGTTTTCTTAACAATAATTGCCACATAAATTCCACCTAACAGAATAGAAAAATAAACTTCATCCATCTTGGAAAAGGCAACTAAAAAGTGTGGCATGAGTGTGGATAGGTGAGAGGAATACCTCAAAGCGCATGCGTTAATGCATGTTGGATTGAAAGTTTTGTAAGGGTTGATTTTTTACACCTCACCTTTTTTTTATCATATCATGGCTGAGATCGCAAGACAAAAATGGTTTTACTTGAGGATCATCAAAGTAGTATGAACGACCAACGATTTTGAGGTTAAACACGGTGAGGTAAGGCTCAAGCAGTTAGCGCGAGCGCCGATGGAGCCGCCGCCGAGGCCGAGTCAGACTGCCAAAACTGGTTTCTGCGCATGACCGGCCCAGACGTGCAACAAAACCACTGGGACCGGGCGCCGCCGGACAGTCTGTGCCATTTTGTGACCCGATCAACACGTCTCTCTCTAAGGTATAGTGCCTACTTGACATCATTTGATGATTCAGGGAAATCAGATTGTTTTACTTTTGGATATTTACGATCGATGTTGGATAGTTGATTTGCGATAATTTGTTCACGATAAACGAGGTTTTCGATTTTGATCAGTGATCAATTGGTATTTTTTGCAATTTAATTTATATTTTAAATTATGAAATAATTAGTTTGAAGTTAAAGAAATTTTGCCGACTAGCTATATAAAATCCAAACGAGTTGGCATACACTAGGCTATTGAGGAAAGCAAAAGTTGAGTAAGGCCAATTGAGTATTCTAAAGGATTTTTACCTACACATCTTATATTACATAACCTCTGTGTCACCTTCCAATATCCCTCCTTTCGCTGAAGCGCAAGCAGCATCCTTTGGGCGGAACACGCTACTCAATTACCTAAACCATCTGGTATCGCAGTTAAGGAGTGATTTAATAGGTTAAGCCTTAGCCTAGTTTTTATTGAAGAACTATATAATTTGAGGGTGACAATAGCCTAAGCTTGTGTAATATAACGTCATATAAACTCAATGTTGCCTTCCAAACACCTCTCCTTTTGCTGCAGTATAAGCAGCATCCTTTGGGCAGTGTACGCCATTCTATAGCCTAATACCCTATCTTGTATGCTTAACGAATTTCTGGTATTTAATTAAAACGTAGAGAGAGTTACGAAACAGAATTAACTATAAGGATAGCTGTTTTAGTGCTCGCATAGCTAGCGTTAGCCTGTTGATTAATTGGGATCTTTAAAGGATAGTAGTTATTCAAATTAACCTACCGTAACCTATCCTAGATTGCTGAAGTATATTCAGCATCCTAGTAAGCTGTGCAGGCTATATACCTTTGACCTTATTGTTGTTTAGAGCGCATTTGCGTGGGGTTAGGGTAGCGAACGAGGTGCATACGGGTGTTTAGGTAACGATTAACATACCGTAACCTATCCTAGATTGCTGAAGTATATTCAGCATCCTAGTTAGCTGTTCAGGCTATCTACCCTTAACCTTTTTGTTGTTTAGAGCGCATTTGCGTGGGGTTAGGGTAGCGACCGAGGTGTATACGGGCGTTTAGGTAACGATTAACCTACCGTAACCTTTCCTAGATTGCTGAAGTATATTCAGCATCCTAGTTAGCTGTGCAGGCTATCTATCCTTAACCTCTTTGTTGTTTAGAGCGTATTTGCGTGGGGTTAGGGTAACGATCGGAGCGTAGCAAGGTTTAGTTGGATCCTATAACCTTTGATACCGATCCTAGTTTGCTTGAAGAACATTCAGCATCCTAACTAGCTGTACAAGCTATCGAACCTAATTGTTGAAATAGACTCTAACGCGAGAATTGAATTAACAGATAACACGACACATAGATTATACACGACAACATTTCTCTCGCGTCTGATAGGGTAACGATGATGAGTGAATAGCGACAACTGGTTCGCACATTTCACTGAGTTACCCTATCATTTTCAATAAAGGAATTTGATTAGAACACAGACGATCGACACATTAGATTATTCGAAACGAAATTAATATTGAGTGGAATTTCACATCAACAATATTTTGTTGATTCACATCGACCCCTGGAAAATTTAAACCCAGCACTGCTGAACTATCTTTGGCGATAAGATAACGAAATCGACACACACACAGAAATTCCCTCACATATTTATGGCGCCCGAACAGGGACTACTGAATAAGTAGTTATTGACGAAAATTTGGAAATTGTTGAGAGAAAAGTAGAAATTTGGATTTTGGACGATTTATTTGAGGAACAACGATGTTCTATCACGTAGAGAGATTCCTTAGACCATTCCAGATTCTCCTGGCATTGAATATAATGGAAGAAGGCGACAACGGGAGCGCTTCGTCACAAGGAGGCGAGCAACAACCTATCACTACGGTCACGACCTCGTCTGGAGGAGCGGACCTACGGACATCCACTACTACGACTACTAGCTCTACGGCAGCTGGAACAGCTCAACGACCACCCTCGGATACAGAAGTAAGGGTCAGCTGGGTGTACAAGTTATCAAGATCGCAGCTTGAAGACGAGCTAGGCAAGCTGGGAACTGTACCAGAAGGAAACGCTAATCAGCTTAGAGCAGAACTTGTTCGACGGTTACGACAACGGGCTGGAAAGGAGGCGATTGAAGAGGATGATGAGTTCCACCAAGCATCTCAAGAAGCACCAGCGGGTGCATCCTTGGAGTTAGAAGCCGTGAGCATCCGAGAACTTCTGGGTCTTCCACCTGATGCTGATTTTAACGAGGTCAGACGGCTGATGACACAAGCTTCAAAGCCACGCCAAGCGACCTTGTCAACTACACACCAGACAGCTCGATCAATTGTGGGGGTTCCCGAGAGGCGAACCTCGATGCTTACTCCGATAAGGATGAAGTCTTATGCCCCAGTCTTCACACGCAATCAATCAAACGATGAAGGTGGTTTGACAGAACAATTGGATTTTGGCTTTAACCACACGAGTGGACGAGAAGAGCCAATGGTGGCAGGTGACGTAGATTCACCAAGACTGTCGAACACTGCCTCCCTTTGTAATACCGTTAGGAAATGGAATTTGAGATTCGATGGAAGGAAAGAATCGGATGCCATATCTTTCTTAGAGCGCTTGAATGAATTGATGGAATCGTATAGTGTAGGCCCTGAGTTGATGTTGAAGGCGTTGCCCGAGCTATTGAAAGACAGTGCGATCCTATGGTATAGGAATAATCGAGAATTTTGGGGTGACTTCATGGACTTTGTCAGGGATTTTCAAATCCAGTACTTACCTCCCGGCTATCTACTTCACTTAGATGACGAAATTAGGAAGAGAACACAAGGGGAAGGGGAGTTGTTCAAACCCTACGTTGTAGCCATTTCGACCTTGATTCGAAGGAGAGGAGGATATTCTCAGCATGAAAAGTTAGATCGAATTTATAGAAACATGCACCCGAGCTATAAAACATATGTTCGTAGGCGAGACTTTGTAAACTTGCCAAGTCTGATCAAAGTCGCTGAAGATTATGAGACCTGCTTGCGAGAGCGAACTGAATATACACCCCCGCCGAACCCAGCCCAGGCATTGGTACCCGAAACCGCCTACCATGGACGAAGTAGATTGGCACCGAAATTCTTACATCACACAGCAACAGTTGAATCCACAACCAGCAACCAAGTTAGATGTGAACCTATGAATAAAGATCGATATACGGCGAGGAACATGGGTGAAAGGGAGTATCAGAATCGACGATACTACGATGGTGAGAGGCGACCAGCCGATTCAAGGACATGCTGGAACTGCGAGAAGACGGGACATACCTATAATTTCTGCAAGGAACCAAGAATACTCAGATGTTTTAACTGCAAGAAGCCAGGAGCGAGAACAACAACTTGTGACTGCTCGAAGTCGGGAAACGAGAGACGGACGATGGACCACGGAGGTCGCCGGAGTCCGAGAATCGACTAAGTGCAACGACCTCCAACTTCCAGTTAGGCACCATTCACTGTTATGACTCAGAGAAAGTGACGAAAGACCTTAGGCCGTACGTTAAGGTTTCGATGTTTGGTAGAGATTTTAAGGCACTGATTGACACTGGTTCCACGATAAACTTGATAGGAGACGAGGTCGCTGATTTTATTGAACGGATGGTGCAACCAGAAAATCAAGAAGTCAGGGTGTCCATGGCCAACAACTCGGAAATGACTTTAAATAAGTGTTTTACCCTGCCATCCACAATAAGAGGTGCGAACCATGAGCTAAAAGTATTCTACCTTCCTGGGTTAAGCACACCTATAATCTTGGGCATGGACATAATAAGAAAATTGAACGTATTAGCCGTGAAAATTGAAGAGGATTTCCTAGGCCCATGCCGGACTGTTCCGAGTGTCAACGATTCTACACATCCGTCAGGGAAACGAGCCGAGATAGAAGACACTACAGTTTGTGGGCTGGAGCCTGAACCCTCTCGTGCTTATAGTGTTCGAGTGGTTAGTCAAGATCATCCAAACCAGACTGCTGCTACTCGATTTGATGGGAAGAAATTGGCTATCCCGAATACCCCTGCACCCTCACCGAAGAAGAAAGCGCCAGCGAAATTTGAAGTGATACCTACGAACACTCCGAGAGCCGAGTCCGATGAGAATCGACCCAATCGTCCAGCAAGAAGACGAGGGAAAAGACGAACTATGAAGATCCAGATACCCGGGACGAACGAGATCAAGAGGATCAATATTCGAAAGTTGGGACTTGTCCCCCACCAGCGTGGAAGTGAGCCATTTGAGAAAGCTCAGTTTTGTTTTGATGTTAAGAAGTTTCATTTCTTTACTCCGTAGAAGATTGCAAATATTTTTTTAGATCCCAGGAGTAGGATCTACAAATCGAAAGACATTGACGTTATTTGTGTTTTAGTTTGGAAGAATTTGAATTTTGGTTTAGAAGAAGTTGAGAATGTTTTTTTTCTTTTCTGTTTCTTTTTTTGTTTCCGCGAAGTGAGTGGAGGATGTAAGGGTTGATTTTTTACACCTCACCTTTTTTTTATCATATCATGGCTGAGATCGCAAGACAAAAATGGTTTTACTTGAGGATCATCAAAGTAGTATGAACGACCAACGATTTTGAGGTTAAACACGGTGAGGTAAGGCTCAAGCAGTTAGCGCGAGCGCCGATGGAGCCGCCGCCGAGGCCGAGTCAGACTGCCAAAACTGGTTTCTGCGCATGACCGGCCCAGACGTGCAACAAAACCACTGGGACCGGGCGCCGCCGGACAGTCTGTGCCATTTTGTGACCCGATCAACACGTCTCTCTCTAAGGTATAGTGCCTACTTGACATCATTTGATGATTCAGGGAAATCAGATTGTTTTACTTTTGGATATTTACGATCGATGTTGGATAGTTGATTTGCGATAATTTGTTCACGATAAACGAGGTTTTCGATTTTGATCAGTGATCAATTGGTATTTTTTGCAATTTAATTTATATTTTAAATTATGAAATAATTAGTTTGAAGTTAAAGAAATTTTGCCGACTAGCTATATAAAATCCAAACGAGTTGGCATACACTAGGCTATTGAGGAAAGCAAAAGTTGAGTAAGGCCAATTGAGTATTCTAAAGGATTTTTACCTACACATCTTATATTACATAACCTCTGTGTCACCTTCCAATATCCCTCCTTTCGCTGAAGCGCAAGCAGCATCCTTTGGGCGGAACACGCTACTCAATTACCTAAACCATCTGGTATCGCAGTTAAGGAGTGATTTAATAGGTTAAGCCTTAGCCTAGTTTTTATTGAAGAACTATATAATTTGAGGGTGACAATAGCCTAAGCTTGTGTAATATAACGTCATATAAACTCAATGTTGCCTTCCAAACACCTCTCCTTTTGCTGCAGTATAAGCAGCATCCTTTGGGCAGTGTACGCCATTCTATAGCCTAATACCCTATCTTGTATGCTTAACGAATTTCTGGTATTTAATTAAAACGTAGAGAGAGTTACGAAACAGAATTAACTATAAGGATAGCTGTTTTAGTGCTCGCATAGCTAGCGTTAGCCTGTTGATTAATTGGGATCTTTAAAGGATAGTAGTTATTCAAATTAACCTACCGTAACCTATCCTAGATTGCTGAAGTATATTCAGCATCCTAGTAAGCTGTGCAGGCTATATACCTTTGACCTTATTGTTGTTTAGAGCGCATTTGCGTGGGGTTAGGGTAGCGAACGAGGTGCATACGGGTGTTTAGGTAACGATTAACATACCGTAACCTATCCTAGATTGCTGAAGTATATTCAGCATCCTAGTTAGCTGTTCAGGCTATCTACCCTTAACCTTTTTGTTGTTTAGAGCGCATTTGCGTGGGGTTAGGGTAGCGACCGAGGTGTATACGGGCGTTTAGGTAACGATTAACCTACCGTAACCTTTCCTAGATTGCTGAAGTATATTCAGCATCCTAGTTAGCTGTGCAGGCTATCTATCCTTAACCTCTTTGTTGTTTAGAGCGTATTTGCGTGGGGTTAGGGTAACGATCGGAGCGTAGCAAGGTTTAGTTGGATCCTATAACCTTTGATACCGATCCTAGTTTGCTTGAAGAACATTCAGCATCCTAACTAGCTGTACAAGCTATCGAACCTAATTGTTGAAATAGACTCTAACGCGAGAATTGAATTAACAGATAACACGACACATAGATTATACACGACAACATTTCTCTCGCGTCTGATAGGGTAACGATGATGAGTGAATAGCGACAACTGGTTCGCACATTTCACTGAGTTACCCTATCATTTTCAATAAAGGAATTTGATTAGAACACAGACGATCGACACATTAGATTATTCGAAACGAAATTAATATTGAGTGGAATTTCACATCAACAATATTTTGTTGATTCACATCGACCCCTGGAAAATTTAAACCCAGCACTGCTGAACTATCTTTGGCGATAAGATAACGAAATCGACACACACACAGAAATTCCCTCACAGTTTAAAGGCACATTGAAATTGAAAGCCCACGAGTGTGAACATAGCTATTGATTAGGAACAGCTGGGTCCAGCTTCAAACCATCAAAAAGCTACTGACTTTTCTCAGGATGGATTAAGCAGCCTCTTGACTTGTAGGTTGCAACATATGTCAGGTTTAAATAGGTTTCAGTAATTTTTGTTTAGTTTTACCTCGACATCTGTAAGTATTAAAAGTCAAGTCATACTGTTCTGGCATACTGCATATCTGCCCGCAAGGTTAAGCTGGAGTGCTGTGGTTGTTGCAGGCCATGTTCACCGGAGGTCTGATGGAGTGTGGCATGACCAAGGTGAAGCTGCAAGGAGTCTCCCCTACTGCCATGGCCAAGATCATACTGTTCATGTACACAGGGACGATACGAGTCACCGAACTGACTGTCTGTCAGGTCCTTCCTGCCGCTACAATGCTACAGGTATACATTGCTACATTGATCTTCCTTGAGGATTACAAGGAGCTTTGTGGTATGTTTTGATCCTGCAACAAGTGTTCTTATGTCCTAAAATGCTTACTGGACAATTTTTCAAAGGGGGTAGAGGACTAAAGTACCAAACTTTAAACCAAAAAGGGAAAACTTGACAATTCTGTCACACCACAAATCATGTTACAGTTCTGCGTGGCTATTTTTTGACAACTCATGTTGCACAGTGTAAAATTATACAGTGTCTGGGACTATTAAGTACCAGATTTGAGTGCCAACAACTGTGTTTATTTTAATTCCTAAACTGTAAAATTGTCAAAAGGTCCCCTTATATTTTCTTAAAATGAGACCATCTTACCAAATTTTAAAAAAACATTATTTTCAATCACTAGTAATATTTTTTCAGGTAGCCAATATCGTAGAGGCTTGTTGTACGTTCTTAGAACGACAGCTGGACCCGACGAATGCCATCGGCATCGCTGCCTTTGCTGAGCAACATGGATGTCGGGACTTGCTGTTCAAAGCCAACAGATATATTGAGCAGCACTTTACCCAGGTGGGCAAACCATCGTCTCACTGATTTACTTTCAGTGTTGAAATGTGAAATGTTTCATCCCAAGGGTAGCCTAAATCTACTAAATCAAGTTCAGTGGAACCTCGATAACAACTCATCCTTGATTACAAGTGTCATTTAATTTTCAAATCCCCTTGAATTTATTTTGCCCCTAATCACATGCTAACATGCTATTGCAAATCTCAATAAGGAGGCCACCTTGTTAACAAGTCTTATTTAATAATCCCCATGAGAGTCTTGTTATCGAGGTTCTTCTGTATAGGTTATGTTGATGATTGTTTTGTGAACTTGGTTTCTTCATAAATCAGAGGTGATGTATTATTACTTTGGTTATAATAGGGCATTTTAAATTATTAGAAAAACTTATAACTGTAGAGATTTTGTTTGCATTTTCCATTTTCATGAGTTACATATTCACTATAAAATATTCCTTAGAGAGTAAATATTATTTTTGATTGAAAAGTTTTTAATTTTTACCTATTTCAGTACTAACTGGAAACTTCCTGAACTGACAAATTCTAAAACAATTAACCAATTCAGTTTTCCTCCGGACTTTTAAACCTCATAAATTATACTTATTTATTTATTTCGTCTAGCAAAAGTAAATATAAAAATTGAATACATATTATGTAAACCTAGTTACTTGTTTATTTATCAGATCTGCCAGGAAGAGGAATTTCTGCAGTTATCACCCATCCAGCTGATAGAATTGATCAGGAAAGATGAACTTAACGTGCAGGAAGAGAGGGAGGTGTACAATGCTGTCATCAAATGGGTTAGGTGAGATAAGATCATGTTTTGTAAGCGATAAGATAGAATCAACTGTGACAAATTTTATCAAAATCTTTAAAGGATAAACAAATAAAATTGACTCTTGACAATGGGCCATGAGTATCTATATATCAAACTTCAACCTATTGCGAACTTAGCAACTTTTTCTTATACTTAAACTTTTATATAGGACAACCAACATTGAGCATCAGTATTGATTTTAGAACTTTTAAAAATATTTCCCTAAACTCCAAAGTGTTCTTTTTAAAAGAAAAGTTTACAGAATGCCGTAGAATTTTAAAACTAGGCCTACTCTGGCAAATGCATCATAATAATACTTCTTAAATGTTACAATCTGTTAGGACAAAAAACCATTACATAATCAAACACGCAGTCTTATTTGAATCATAGCAAACTGCCTAGCCTCTTTCAAGTTTGAAAAAGCTATATATATATTTTTTTTACCCAGGTACAATGAGGACACCCGTAAGCCCAAGATGGTGGCTGTGTTACGAGCTGTTCGATGTCAGTTCCTCAGTCCTGCGTTTCTCCAAGAGCAGATGAAAAGTTGCGACATTGTTACCAAACTACCAGCGTGTCGCGAGTACCTCTCACAGATATTCACAGTATGTTAGTTACTAGTTAGTAACCAGTAGCAATCAGTAGCTGACTGATTGTTTCAACATGTTACAGTAAAACCATTTTAAAACATTTCATTTCCTTTTTAACCATCGATCTATGTTATCTCTCACCAAACTGTCATATCAAAACTAATTTGGCATTGCTACTTTGTGTCACAGGTACAGTCCTGGCAGTGATGTTAAATTGAGGTTTTACATTTTACCATACTATATATATTAACAAGTCCCACTTACATTCCTGAAATAAAAACATGGTAATATAATAAATGAGCATGATTAAATCTCTAGATATGGTATTGTATCGTCTGAGAAACGGTTATACAATGTATTATTTATTTAAAAGGCATTTAAGCTGGATGACAAGGGGAATCAGTAATAAACGTTGGTTGTTGTAGGATCTTACATTACACAAGAGGATAGGAGTGAAAGAGCGAACGCCAAACTCCCCCCGGATTATCTACGTTGCTGGTGGCTATCTGAGGCATTCCCTCGACACGTTTGAGGGCTTCAACATTGACGACAACACGTGGACATCCCTAGCCAAACTGCCAATCCCTCGGTCCGGCCTAGGTGTGGCTTTCCTCAAGGTAATTTGGCAAGTTTGAACAATTTATATAATTGAATAGAACAAATAATCTTAGGATATTAGTCAGAATAATCTAGGAAGATAAAACATTTTACAAGCCTTAAATAGACAATAAATAATTTCAAATAATTCAAACAAATTATTAGTTATTTTCTGTAATTATTGCTGCTATTTTTTAATTTTTGAATACTGGGCCTCATCCCATAACATCCCATCTGTATAAACTAGGTGAAACCTACACTGTATTCAGCTAAAAGATTTGTAAAAACATTCCATAACAATTTTCTGTTCTTAGAGTGTGCTTCTGTCAAATATCTACTTTCTGTTTTAAATGTTTTAATTTTCATCACTTAAATAATTGATTTGGCATAAAAGATTATTACAGTTAGTTGTCGTTGAAAAGTCAGTTTATTCGACAGAAACCAATGATTGACAATAGCACACTCTCGATTTAACCAAATTAATTTCATTATAAAACTGGCTACTACTTAACCATGGGAATGGAATCCCAGTAACAATCAATTGGTTCAATACAAGTAAGATTGTGCCTAGATGTATCTCTCTTAGATCGTCTGTAATGTTTTCACTCTCCTCGTTTTACAAAGACTCTTGGGAAATTCTTTTCCGCTTGGATGAATGTGTAATGAAGAAGCGTATCATGATCTGTTACAGGGTGCGATTTATGCGGTAGGCGGACGAAACAATTCCCCAGGCAGTAGTTACGACTCAGACTGGATTGACCGGTATGACCCGGTGATGGACACGTGGAGACCTTGTACGGCCATGTCTACACCTCGTAATCGTGTGGGAGTGTGTGTCATGGACGGACTGCTGTATGCCTGCGGAGGCTCTACTGGGACAGACTGTCACAACAGTGCAGAGAGGTACGATTAAGAATTATTATAACTTTTTAATGGCTTGTTTGTAGAACATATCAAATAAGGAGTTAGCCGGTACAAGAATGAACTGGACTGATAAATTTTAATCCTTACCGGACTATAGGTGGATATATCCGCTAGCATTTTGACATAGCGGACAGTAGGCCTATTAGTGATGGACAAGACCCGAAACTTCAACATTTTTTCGAGATTTATTTTATCTCGGAGCTTTGGGCGGGATTGAAATACTAAAACAATTAAATAATCCCATTATTTAAACACAATATGCTGCATTGATATTGTTTTTCAATTAGGATGGATGTTGTAGTAATATATGTAATGGGGACAAATGTGCCTCGCCAAATTCGTCCAATAAGCACAGTATACTGTTTGAAAATAAAACTAAAAAATAAAATATTCAGAAAAAACTTTTCTACCTTTGCTATCAAATACATCTATCTGTATTGCAATAAATCGTCTATTAAACATTATTAACAATAAACATTCTTTTAACTCCTCTCTGCCTGTTTTTAGATACGACCCGGACAGTGACACCTGGGTGAAGATCAAGTCTATGAAGCAGCAACGTATCGGTGTAGGTGTGGCCGTCATCAACAGGTTGTTGTATGCTGTAGGAGGGTTCGATGGAGCCAACAGGTTGCGCAGCGTCGAGTGCTACAACCCAGACAAAGACTCGTGGTCGTTTGTAGCCGATATGCACGAGTGCAAAAGTGGCGCAGGTAATTATATTGCATTTGTCAGCTTTTGTTAGAGTTTTTATTCCGAGTCAGTCAATAATTTTTTTCCTCATTCACCGTTTCCCTTGTAATTTTAAAAAGCTAACAACAACAATTTTATAATTTTAGCAATAATGTAAATATAATGTAATGATAATTTAAACTACCGGTACACATAAATAGTATGACACTTACTTGAACAACAGCTATTCCTCAAAAGTACATTAGACTAAATCTTAAATACCAGGATATACAAAACACAAGGGGTTCAGTTAAAAATATTTACTGTGACTGGTACTTTGGTTTTAAGTATTAAAACAATCTAATTTTCGTTTAACCCTTTAAAAATTTAATCAAATTATTGGAATATTATGGAATTCATATTTTCTTGAATAACAAATCTATGTAGTCAATTGTATTCAATATTTTGGATTCCACCTTTGACTATAAATAGTCAATGATTCCATCGAACTTACAGCTGATTCCACGGAAAAATGTTTCTTAAAAGAATGGTTTAAGTTTCTTTATTTATACAACTCAAAATTTTGCTAAATGGCAACTAGTTTTGACTAACCCATGTAGTAGTCATCTTCAGGATCAGCAAAAGATGTCCTGTTAGATGTTAATACGCAAAATGCTGCTACAAACACAAAGTAGTAGCAGTTAGTATTTGAACAAGGCTAAGATTTAGGAAAATTACCAAAAGTTGCCTCAAGTTATTTGTGTCTGCAGGAGTGGCAGCGTTGGACCACCACATCTACGTGGTGGGAGGCTACAACGGGTCTCAACAGCTGGACACAGTGGAGAGGTTTGACCCGGAGACCAACCAATGGACGTTCTGTGCAGCAATGAGCATCGCAAGGAGCGCTCTCAGCCTGGCCGTCATAGACAACAAGATATATGCCATCGGTTAGTTCCTCATTTCATATTATTTGTATTATTTGTCTTACTGCCGGAAAAGGATGATTATGATTATATGACAATTATTGCCCAGGAAAATCAGACAAAAAGTTCTGTGCATCCCAAAAATTCCTAAGCTGCAAAGTGTTTTAATACCTTTTGGTGGTCCCAAATGAGAGTCAAACTTTGAGTTCGTGACTGATTCTAGCTTGTGTTTAAATGATAAAAACAGTAAAAAAAGTAAGTGGGAGTACAAAAAGTATAAAAAAAAAAACACAAAATATACGCAAAATACAGTTTTTTTTCTTAAAACACCTTAATGAAGGGTCATAAAAAGTGATTCTTTTAGCTTTTTAAGAACATTGATTAAATTATGCATCGATTAGTAGCCCATTAGAATAATACACTTAGTTGACTAGCCCCAATAAATTTTCAAAGGTGGGCCATTTTTTTTATGATCATGGCCAGAAATTTTGTCTTTGTTCAGTTTTTGCCTTACAGCTTCCATACGAAGTTTTTATTATATTATTGTATTGTTACCAATATTTGTGAAGGATGAATCAGATATTACTAGACAAACACTAAATCCACTCAGCCACCATGCTACATGGTTGAGTTCATTTGAATTATGAAATGAAATGAAATCAACTTTATTCATAACTAGTGTCCCTGTTGCTCGAATTCGAGCAATTGCTAAGTATTAGAAGCGTTATTTTAAAAGGATTAACGGTCATAATTTCTGATGACTTTAGAAGATCAAAAGACCAAAAGATTAGGGAAATACTCAAGATGTACATAACAGTAATATATCAATTTATCCAGGCTCTCTCGCTTTTTTCCATTGTAATATTTACACTAACCCAAATTCAAATAGTAATATTCCATTTCAACCAAGTCAGTAAATGTTTGGAGCAAACTGTATTAGCAAACTTATTGAATGTTTAGAATTAACATATGTTCTTCTTCTCACTTTTAACTTCTGAAAACAGCTGGAGTTTCATAACAATTTTTGTTTCCCATGTTAATCTTATGGAGAAATACGAAACTTTAAAGGGTCCCAGGGCCTCACTCTCTAATTATTTCCCTAAAAAGAAAGTTTCCTGCACAACTTCACGTTACGCTCTTTCCAATGACACCGAAAACATGTCAATCGGTTCAGTAGTTTCGGAGGAGTAATTGTCACAAAAAACATGCTTGCGTATTAAATAAGTATATAGATTTGTTAACATTTGCACAAATGGTGTCATTACATTGGATTATAATCATAATGCTTAATCCTAAAAAAAGTACAAGGTATAAAATCACTATTGAAAATGTTCTTATTCTAATATATTATGTAGAAGGAAATATTCATTCTTTGAGTACAGGGGTTAAGTTAAAAAGTACTTTTTAGATTATTTTTAAATTTGGCAGTTTTTGTATAGTCCTTTAACAAGATTCCGCTTACAAGATCCGCTTAACAAGATTCCTCCAACAGATTTTCCGCTTACAAGAAGATTAGAATCATCGGCATATAAACAGATGGTATTCCTTGTTGAATATGAAATAACATTGGGTAATCCATTGATATATGTAAGAAATAGTAGAGGATCCAAAATAGAACCCTCACCATGTTTAATTGTTCTCAACTGCAATCTTGTTGTAACCATCCGGTTATGATTGTTTAAGTATGTAATTTCTACAAACTCTTTCCTATTAGTTAAATATGATTGAAACCATTTTAGTGAAATTCCTACCACCCCTAGTCCTTCCAATTTTTAAAATAATTTATGATGAGATACACTGTCAAATGCTTTGCTTAGGTCCATAAATATTCCAATTACTTTATCTCCCCTATCTACAGAATCAATTATTGACTCAATATATGTAGCAGCCGCTGATATTACAGAATGGTTTGATCTAAAAACGTGTTGCTCTTTATCGAGTTGATCATTACTTTCTAAAAAGTTAACGAGCTGATTATACATAGCTTTTTCATCAATTTTAGACATGACAGGTAACAAGGCTACTGGGCGATAGTTTGAAACATCTAATTGGTCACCTTTTTTATAAAGAGGTTTTACTTTTTTTTATCTTTATTTTTAATTTATCTGGAAATATGCCGGATATAAATGGTGAATTTACTAAGTGTGCAAATGGTTTTTTAAGTGAACTCTGGGGATGCTTTATTACTGTTATGGGAACATCGTCAAAGAATGATGATAGTTTACTATAAAAATTTTGAAATTATTTTACTGATATCTGTCTCACTGATTGGTTCACATCTAAATTTATTTTGTTGGTTATTTATTACTAAATTAGGTACGGATAAATTTGGTGTATTTATTTTTGGAATTACATCAGAATCAACTAAATTGAAATTTACATAAAAATCAGTAAAACTGTTACATATAACCATAGGGTCATTATATACTTTTGAATTTACCTCTATTTCATCTATGCTCTTCACAACCTTTTTTTGTTTTTTATATTTAAATTAATCAAATTCCAAGTTGTCTTGGAGTTGTTTGATTCGTTCATCTTATAGAGAAAAAAATTATTATTATTCTTATCAGAATATGGATTAAGTAAATGTAAGTAGTGAAAATGTACAATGTGGGTTTTATTTTAGTTGTACATCAACCAATATTTATTTTCATTGCTTATATCCGAGGGGTTTACGGACATTAATTGTGATGTTATCCTACAAGAAAAGATTTTGTCCTACAATATCAAAAATAGTTCCACTGTGTTTCACAGGTGGTTACGACGGAAGAAATTTCATCTCTGTCGTAGAGATCTACGACCCGACAACTGACTCGTGGACTCAAGGCACACCCATGCCTAGTGGTCGGTCGGGTCACGCTGCGGCTGTGTGCTACCAACACCAGTGTCTGATACCTTGCGAAGGACCTTCACTGCAGTGTGACCCCCACCCCCTACCCACACCCAGCACTAGCCGCGGGTCTCCCTCCTAGCAGCACGCTACGCCTCGGCGCACGGCCCGCAACAGGCAGTGAGTGGAGGACATCAAACTGCGGCTGTGTGCTACCAACACCAGTGTTGGATACCTTGCGAAGGACCTTCACTGCAGTGTGACCCCCACCCTCTCCCCACACCCAGCACTAGCCGCGGGTCTCCCTCCTAGCAGCACGCTACGCCTCGGCGCACGGCTCGCAACAGGCAGTGAATGGAGGACATCAAACTGCGGCTGTATGCTACCATCACCATTGTTGGATACCTTGCGAGGTACCTTCAATCCAGTGCGATCCCCACCCTCTCCCCACACCTAGCTAACCACTAGCTGCTTAGCAGCTAGCAGCGCACAGCTCGCAACAGGTTTAGCAGAGGACATCGCGTTGTGTTGACGTGAAGGTTTCACAAGACTATGGTTGTAATTACATTGCAAATGAGCAATCGTGTAAATATCACTTCCTAAACAAGCATTCCAGAAAGTTGGATCAATCTGTTTAAGCTGTTTGAGCATTTATTGCACAAGTTATCATTATAATTGATATTTTTTGTAATATCATAGTAGGGATTTTTTGAAATTCTCTTTAGAAACAATTTAGTTGGGAACACTTTTTATTCAACAAAACCGACAATTTAATATCAGTCCACAGAGGCCTCACAAGATTATAATATTTTCAAGTTTTGTGTTAGGGCTAGGTTTTTTGCTCTCATTTGTTGATACCTAAAAGGAAATAGTGATGTGTTGAATCTGAATCTCATGAAAATATTCAGATTGGAGATTTAACTAGGATATTATTTTGTGTTCAACAACGTGAGTGTTAGTTCAAGGCAGTAATCATATAGAATCTTAATCTGATGATGATCAAGTCAACGATTGTTTAAGGAAAATTTGATTTCTTATGGGGGATAAACAATTTAGGGGGTTTTCAATCTAATTAGGTCATGTTACCTTTTAATTAACAATTCGGCTTAATGACCATAAAAGGTATCACTATCTATTGTTTTAACTTAAATTTCAATTCAGGAGGCAAAACATATGACTTTTAGGGTTGTTTTAAAATAACTAATTAATTTTACAGTAGATCGTAAAAAAATAATATATTGTATTTTAAGTTGTACTTGGATTTGTGATTTTGGGCGTATTTTATTTATTATTCAGATTTGGATTCCAGTTTTGAAATCCCAGAATTTTACCATTTCTAAAAGAAATGTTAATTAGGAAAATGCAACATCATTTTTGTGATTAGTATGTAGGCCTACTTTTCAACATTATATTATTGAGTTACAAATTGAGTATGCTTACCTAGCTCCATTTTGACTAAAATAAAAATAATGTATGCATAGTGTATTTAGAAATACACATTACTTGTGTAGCCAAAAACGCATTTAAAGCTTTGTGATACTCCTTGTTGTAAGATAGCACAAACCACATAGGACAACTTCTATATCTAAATCTATCAGGGTTAAGTGTGTAATACTCCAAAAGTTTTATGTGACTGCCTGTACTGATGTGATGCTTGAAAATAGTTCTCAAAGTTGACTACAGAAGACTTTCTTAATCACTGACTACTTAATGGTTACTCATGCTGTACTTTATTGTAATTAATCATTTTGGTAAAGATTGCAAAATCAGATTTTTTTCATCACCTCCCTGTGTACTCTACCTAGTTTTCCTGATCTCTTGAATTCTAAAAAAATATGATTGTTTTTATGATCACTTCATTCTTTATTCTGTCATCATCTCTTTTTAGAATGATTGTCTTGAACTGTTTTCATTTTAACCTTTTCAAACAATAAACTGTTTTTTCCTTATATTTTTTCTAGTTAGATGTACTTTGTTAAAACCAGTAGAAAATAAACGTAAAATACTATTACGAAGCAAGATTTTGTTACTGTGCCAAGCTTAAAAATTACATATGATAAAAGTTTCTGAATGTTAACAGCAACAAGTTTTATGCCATGTGTTAGGTGAACGACTTATTTTTTAATGTACGTTTTGATGTTATCTACTGTGCATAAATGTTGACCTTTAAAATATAAGAAAATCTTTCATATTAATGTCATGCCTTAAAATTATCAAAGCCTTTCTTCTAAGAGGACAATTGTATTGTTCTTGTAGGTTCATCATAGTATGTTGTATGTTTATATTCAATGCATTCCCTAACAACTTATAAATGCACTTTGATGTTGTCAATCCGTTTACTGGTGTTTCAGTGGTTAACGACCTTTTCACAATTTTACTGCAAGACTGTATTCTATTACATTATCAAAGGAAAAATGCTCAGCAGCACGGGCCAAAGTTCTTCACTCAAATTTAGTTTTTCATCATACTGTTGGGAAAGCAGCTGTTTTTAGTTCTCAAAATCGTCCGCAAAATCATAGTTTTTGGTAACTTCAAATAGAGAACAGAAAAACAAATGGTAAATTTTTCGGTTCCCTAACCTAAAAATTTTATCAGTTAATTATGAAAATTGCCTATTAATATATAGATGCTTGCTTATCACCATAGACATGAATTAATTGATTATAACAATATTTAAAGTTATGTTTGTAAACAACAGAAATTGTAAACATTGATGACAACTTAGTATAACCTCAAATTATGTGGTCTAATTTAGTAGCTATTAGAAGGTTATTTCCACAGTATGATGAAAATAGTTGTTCATCACATGAAGCACAGGGTCTTTTTTATACTTATTCATTCATTCCACGATTGCGTACCAAAAAGAAACCCTTTCGCTCCTAGTGATGAAAACTACTATTCTTTTAACTTTCTTGTTGCATTTAGGTTTTTTATTTATCCAAAACGTTGATAATTAGAGTCATTTTTGTACGCACTTAAAATAAAATACCATACAGTTTGTGAAGCTGAAATAGTAAAATTTATTCCTTCGACACTTAGGGAAAGGAATGTATCCAAAGCCTTTCTAAAAATTTATTTGAATTCAAAAAAGTAATAAAGTAATTAAAAAGAAGTCAATTGTTTGTTCAAAACGCCAAATTGATGGATTAATTTGGGGATAAGACACGAGCTTTGGCGAGTGCCCTAAAAACTTTTACGAGTGTTGTAAAGGCTAGTTACAAGGAGCTGCTTACATTACCATACCTATGACCGTTTCACTAATACTATCTGACATTTTCAAAATCTCTCAATAAACTTTCCTGCACCGGTTGGTTAGCAAATCGTTTAGTTCACCTAAGGTTAAGGAAAGAATGTGTGTGTTTCCGGCAAAAGTCGGCAGATCAACAGTTAAATTGGTCATTTCCAGCTGATAAGTTGGCGTTTGAAGCATTACAATTTTACTTCTTTCCTCTCTATTCTTGAACCTCATTAGTCTGTTACTTTACCACACCAGTGCTGTAAAGTAAGGAAACAATGTGGTGAAATGAGTCTTTTTGATTCTAAAAATTTGAAGGCTAGTTTTAAAAACGGCCGTAGGTAAAAATCTTTACCTCATAGTTAATTGATTGTTGTCTTTCCAACATTTTATGTGGAATAAAAGTCATTCCCATGTTATTGATATTATAGTTATGTATATGTGTATATTTGTTTACATATGTACAGTATTTGTTAAAATAATATTTTCCTCTAAAGTTATATTTGTAATACTGTTTATATGTAAAATTGTGGTTATTATGTACATTGAGATCTATTTATATTTCTTAAATGACCATCTCTTTTATTTGTTTTTGTGATATAAAAATAAGTTATTTTGAACCGTTTGCAGTGTTGTAATTTTCAAAATACCTGATTAATTGTTTTAAAAAAGGTGTGGAATCGATCCAAGGTACAAGTATCAACTTATGATGGAAAATAGGTTTTGTGAATTTAAATAAAGAAGAATCAGGGCATCTTTCAATACCATACCTGTAACGAAATTCTGAAACATCAACCCCCAGCAATACAGCAATTATAAGTATTTTCTCTTATATCATAAAATTGAGATTAACTATATTTTATACACCAAGACATTCTTAGAATCATAACACCTAAGTCAGGAAAACTTGTGATGAATGATTTTTTCCGTAGATTTTAATGTATGGAATTTTTATTGACACAAATTTTAAAATTGATTAGGAAAGAAAAAAAATGGATACTGGATGTTCAAATGGATAATCAATCAACAAACAATACCAATGGAACTAGTCCCCAATCCCTTTATTTATGCAAATTTATTGAGCATGTTCTTTTATTTTGGCATTGTTAGATATGGGAAACGGACTTTCGGCCTGCGCTGCCCCTGACTCGGCCTGGGCTGCCCCTATTATGTGGTGTAAAGGGTAGGTTTCTCGGGAGTAGGTACCTGACCTGAGCTTGCGCTTTACCCACTAAATCCCAGGAATCTCCCGGAAATACCTGTGGGGTGGTGGACAGGGTCGTCGACACAGGAAACAGGGCAAATAGCATTGGAGCCAACCTTCTAGGAAATACATTACTATTGTATTAGAATACTGCTGTAATCTTTGGCATTAACGACTCAGAAAGTGATGGTGTCTACGGGTGGTGGATATCCGCCCCAAATAAACCTATTTTTGTTTCAAAATTTTAGATTAAAAAATACGCAAATTCTTACTACATATAATAAATCTTTTATGCTTCTTTTAATACTGTATATGATAGTGGTTTTTAGTACTGTATTATGACAAATTTAAATGTAAAATACTTGCAGTTATTTGAACTTGAATTCATTATTTCTTAGGCCGCGAACGCTAAATATGTAACAGATGTTCGTGTACAGTAGTTAAACAATAAAAAATAGTGCATTTCATCACTAGAGGGTACCTATTTAACAGTACTGTATTACGAAACGTTTATATGTAAAATACTTGTAGTAATTTGAACTTGAATTATTTATTTCGTTGACCGCGAACACTAAATATAAAAGTAACAGATGTTTGTGTAAGGTAGTAAAACAATACAAAATAGTGCATTTCATCACTAGAAGGTGTCTATTTAACTTTACTGTATTACGAAACCTTTAAATGCAAAATACTTGTAGTAATTTTAACTTGAATTCTTTATTTTGTTGGCTGCGTACGCTAAATTTTGGCCGTAAAAGTTTAATTTTGATACTTACTTGTTCTGTGTTATTTCACCTAATAACAACAGTACATTTAATTCCATCCAACATAATTTTTGTTGGAAATGCACAATGTTGAATTGTGTGTTCCAATTATTAAATTGCAAATTACATTAATTAATTGTTGAATGAAATGCATAGGGGCATTTAATTCCATCCAACTGAATTTTCTGATTTTGTATATAACAAACTGTAAATTTCTTTTATTGATTGTAAATATCTACATCACTAGAAGCCTTTTTGTAGTAATTGATCATTTAAACACTGCAGTTACAAGTTTAATTTTAATATTTTGTTGTACCAATACACCAGACTGTTAATTAATATATAGGATTATATTTTAAACGCATTTTTATAACATACTTGTCTCTTGTTACATATTGGTTTAGTTTTTAATTTCGTATTTTATACATAGTGTTTATCTGGTTTTTACACTGTAATTTAATTAAAGTAGGCCTATCATTATTTTTATACTACGTCTCTTGTTTAAATTATCTGAATGAATGTACTACGAATGTACATTCAGCTGTTAAACTACAATTCACACTTTAAACTGAAACAAGAGGTTCTACCCGTGAATTCACGGGTGAACAGAAACCACCATTAAATTAATTTAATCAACTTTGACTTTATATTTCATTTAAAGGGCCCAAGTTCGAGAAATTTTCATGTGAAAGGATGTTAAAGGCAGTGGAACCTTCATACCTTACGTCCTAAGGTTGGCCGAGGTTGTACCTGTACACGCAGCTCTCTTTCACGACATCTTTAATACTTTTCAATGAAATTGCGATCTGTTAAAGATCGGTGACAACCTCTTGGAACGAACAACATACATGGTTTGTTAATCTCATAGTCATCATGGTTCGAACACCTTTAGTTACTCACTTGTAACAAACAGCTATAAATAGCTTCACTGTCCATTCACCGCGACTCTTTTAAGAACGTGAAAGTAAATAATAAAATAAGTAAACAAAAATGTAAGCAAACAATAGTTAGTTGTGCAACTAGTGAGAAAAGTGAGCAATTGACTCACTCGAGAGAAATCCTTAGGCCAGGCGCACACAGGCGATTTTGAGTTGCGCAACAGTTGCCCGACTAATCGGGGGACTGTTGCGCGACTCTCTCGGAGACTCTGAAGTCTAGCGACAGTTGAGCTGGAGTGCGCACACAGGCAACTTTTTAGTCGCGGATCTAGTCTTGAGACGTGTTGGAAATACATTCGTTAGGCCTGGCGCACACGGTCAATTTTTCGATCGGCCGATTAAAAAATCGGCCAAAAATAAATCGCCCTTGATTTATGTCTAGGCGCACACGTGGCGATTTTTTAGTCGAGAAATGGGTTTTTTTAGTGCGTTTAAGCTATCCTAAAATGGACTTTGTTGAATTAACCAGTGTTTTTGTGCTCTTCTAATTAGACCAAAGAAAAAAAGAAGAAAACTTAAATATTGGGTTCATCCGATAGTAAGTCAGAGACTTTTAAATCGACAGTTTTATAAACTATACACTTTACGTGATGACAGTAAAAAGTCCTTTAATTACTATAGAATGTCTGTTTCAGTTTTTATTATAACACCTGTGGCCTTTTTAACAAAGAAAACAACACAACTCACACTGAAGTTCACTACTCCTGTGGAGAACAACAAGCGACTGGCCGATTTTTAGTCGACCGTGTGCCCGGACTGATAACAATCTGTACGTTACAGATTTTCGGGCGACAATCGCCTCGCCTACGAATCTGTGGCAAAACCCAGATTTTAAAATCGGCGCAATTCTCGATGGCCTGTGTGCGCGCTTCCATTCAAATACATGATGCACAGATCGGCCGATGAAATAGTCGCCTCAAAATAATCGCTCGTGTGCGCCGTGTGCGCCTAGCCTTACAGCGTTCCGAATGGATTTCAATGATACAGCCGTAGTATGTGCTTTGTTGCTGAAGTTTCGCGCGCGAAAGAAAATGAGAAGATACTGGGTTCATCCCATATATAGTGAGCGACTTGTGAAAGGACAGTTTCAATGACTTTAAATATAGTCGGCCTCTTCTCGACTTCATCAATTAATTTTTCGACATCCTCATCACGCACACTCATACTTGTAATTTTCTAAAAACTTCACACAACAAGAGAGCAAACACTAGTGACAGTTCTGGCCACGAGTAGTTGAACTCCTGGGGTGAGACTGGGCGACACAGCGACTATTTAGTTGCATGTGTGCGCATCTACACTTGTTTTAATGGATACCAAACCTAGAGCGACAGTCCCGCAACAATTGAGTCGCAGAGCAGTCGCTGGCAAATTGGGTCCGGGAACATCGGTTGCAACAGTTGCGCGACTGTCCCCAGACTGTTTCCTTCGTGTGCGCACTCCAATTTAAAACAATGTTAAACATTTTAGTCGGGCAACTGTTGCGTGACTCAAAATCGCCTGTGTGCGCCTGGCCTTACTCACGAGCCGTAGGCGAGTAAGGAATGGTTTCTCGAGTGAGGCAATTGTACTTTGAACTCGAGTTGCACATTATACTTTTCCTACTGTTACCATAGAACAAATAAATTTGTGAAGAAACATAACCTATTTTACACAGAAGTGAACTTTTAATAAAACATTTAATGTGAAGAGACAAATACAACAGTACAACAGCTGACCAGCTGATTTACAGCCAGTGCTGCCAACGCATTTAGCGCGCATATGACGTTGCCTGCGTGTTACGCGCTCACTATTTCGTGCCTTCACGTTGCAAATCTGGAGTGAGACAAAGTAATTAGAGTGAGACAATGTTAACATTGTCTCACTGATGAGCGAATTGGCCACTTTGCTTTCTCAAATCAGTGAGAGAACATGTACATTGTTAGGTAACTGTAGGAAAACTATATTGTCGATTGCATTGGCCAGCTGTTGTTCACTAAATTAATCAAATAATAACTTCCAAAACATGCAAGGCGTAGCCTTTTGAAAATCAGCCTGTGGGGCAGAGCCCTTAGGGAGTTCGTCCATATCAATACTTTTCGGCAAAATCTACACACTCTAAGCTTCATTTTGATATGCCATATGCCTATATTTTTATTTGGTAAATGGCCTTAACCGTTTACATAAAATTTGATTGTATCACTGTAATAATATAATATACTGTTGTATGGATAATATTTTTGTACTATTGAGTGGATGGATTCTTGTAAACAAGCCTTGAAATCATATTAAGTGAGACTAATTCGTCAACGTTTGTGATTTATGAAAGCTATAGTGACAATAGGCGGATGGTGGCCCCACCTTCTGCAGTAGCCTATCTATAAAAGCTATAATGTATATACAAAACTATAATATCTATAACTAATATTATGATGGTCAATCTATATAAATAAAATTAGAGTTTTGTCTGTACATTGCTCAGAATTATATACTTTTATGTTATTTTTACGTTTTATACATTAAAGAAGCAGAAACGAGTCTTATCTCAATTTCTGTCTGTCTGTCTGTCTGTCTGTCCCTTTGTCTGTAACACTCAAGATGGCATTTTACCCAATCTTCTCCGTGAAAACCAGAGTACATATCAAGATCCAAGTCATTTTAATGTATTCACTGGATTGGCGAGAGTGTCTTTAGTGATTTAAATATAGCCTCACTACTTTGTAAATAAAATTACGGAC